TCCTCTGATCCATTTCGGCTGCACAAGACCCCGATAGTAGCACTGCACTGGGGCTCTCCACTTTAGCATAGCATCCTGAGCTCTGAAAACTTACAGACAAGCTGTCTCCTGTAAACCCTGACCTGTTCAGTTCCTGCTTTGCTGAGTGTAGCAAGTTGATACCTTTTAACATGGTCTAGCATGGATGATACCAAGTCACACACATATATTCATTTAAAAAAAGGCAATATAGGGAATTATACCATAAGTTAAAAGAATGACTATAGCCAAAAGAATCCCAGGCCTCTTGGCCATGGCAGTAAACTAAATCTGATGCTCTTCCTCCAATCACAGTGCATCACATTTATTTGCAGGTGGCTACCCCATTGTGAAGCCCTTTGTGGACAAATGGGGAGTTCATGTAAGATGGGTGGCTTAACCTTTTATCTTTCTGCAACCCCTAATTTCTATACAACAGCATTTTGGCTCCTATTACTGGCAAAATTGTAAATGTTTGCTTCAGGAAGTCGAACATTCTAATGATAACATTACGACAACTGAGTTATAAATTGATAGCCTGCCTGGTGTGGTTGATAGTGCCAGCTGGCTTATCTTGAGCCTGTGACATTTGATTGTTTTTGCCTTCCTTTGAAGAAGTTATCTCTTAGTTGTCTGTCTTATAAAGTGAAAATAAATAGCTGTGATTCAATCTTGCTTTTTTATGTATGCTTCTTCTCAGTCAACAAAGTGTCATGAAACCCATGAGTGATACAAGGATAAACAAGGCATAAAAACGCCAGGCATGGTGTCTGATAGGACCTTTAAGATGTTCAACTTACAGGTGATTTACTGAGACTGAATAGTACATTGCATTAACTTTTCATTTTTCAGTACGTTAAATATCCTCTTGGCTCACAAATGAAGTGATTTCTGTTCGTTGTGCCTGAATTTTCCTCCCTAGCCCCAGAGCTTGCTTTGAAGACCAAGAGCCTGGTGTAGATAGAGGAAGATGAATAGCAGGCGAGTGCTGACTATGGGATGGGAGATTTCATCAGGTCGCTCATTTACCCGGTCTGTGCAGTTGTTCTTGCTAAAGATGGAATGAAAGGGCATTCCCGTGTCAGATAAGCATGCTCAAGCTTTACGTTTCAGGCAGGAAGCAAAGGATACATGTCCCTGAAATCAATTCAATGCGGTTATTTGCTAAATTTTTATGAATACTAAAAGGAAAAGGTCGGCTAACATGAAAAATGCAGTGCAGTGGTACCCTCAGGGGCTGGGCACTGGTGAGATCTGCATTATTGCTTTTTGATCTTCCATTTATCCTTTTCTGAATATGAATAAAATATACTTTGAGATTTTGTTTAAAATTAAAGAAAATTAATGATCCTCTTTGAATATCAGGCTCTGCTATGCTATTCGTCTTTAAGGAAGTTAAGAAGCCTTTCAACCTTTAATTAGGACTCCACCATTCTCTTTTTCTTTCTCACCGTTAAATTACGGTTTAGATTTTTGAAGGGGAAAAACCATCCTGGCTTTCTTCGGCTATTGAGTTTCTTGCAGGCACTCTGTAGACACGACCGAGTGGGTGGCAACAGAGCTGAGACAGGTGTGCTTCATCCTCCAACTTTGTGTGGAGCGTTGACCTTGCTGTGTGGACCACAAGGTAAAACACAGATAAAAGAAGATCTAATGAATGCCGAGTAAATCTTCCAGAAACCGGGGATTGTTTAATCATTCTACAAAGTAGCAACTATTTGAGTGGTTTCCTAAGCATTACTTCTGTGAAATAGAGCATACTGAACAGCTAAGGGAAGAAATAGGCAGCAAAATGAAGCTTTTGTATGTGTACAAGATCATAATTGAACAGGTTACTAGGGAGAAATATGCTTACATGTACATCNCAGTGAATATTGAATTTCCTGAATTTCCTTTTCAAACTTTCTGACATGCTGTTTTCTTTTGGTCTCCTTATTTCCCACCTGGGGTTAATCTTTTCACTGTGTATGGTAGTTCTTTCTTAATCTTGCAGTTCATCAGTGGCAATTTGAATTTTATGATTATCATAGGGTGGAACAAAATTCAAAAGTAGGCCAGGAATGAGAGCCTTTCTATTTTTAAAAATTATCTACTTTCAGTGTCTCCTTTCTCCAGGAACTATATATTCCCCTGATCCATTTTGGCTGCACAAGACCCCGATAGTAGCACTGCACTGGGGCTCTCCACTTTAGCATAGCATCCTGAGCTCTGAAAACTTACAGACAAGCTGTCTCCTGTAAACCCTGACCTGTTCAGTTCCTGCTTTGCTGAGTGTAGCAAGTTGATACCTTTTAACATGGTCTAGCATGGATGATACCAAGTCACACACATATATTCATTTAAAAAAAGGCAATATAGGGAATTATACCATAAGTTAAAAGAATGACTATAGCCAAAAGAATCCCAGGCCTCTTGGCCATGGCAGTAAACTAAATCTGATGCTCTTCCTCCAATCACAGTGCATCACATTTATTTGCAGGTGGCTACCCCATTGTGAAGCCCTTTGTGGACAAATGGGGAGTTCATGTAAGATGGGTGGCTTAACCTTTTATCTTTCTGCAACCCCTAATTTCTATACAACAGCATTTTGGCTCCTATTACTGGCAAAATTGTAAATGTTTGCTTCAGGAAGTCGAACATTCTAATGATAACATTACGACAACTGAGTTATAAATTGATAGCCTGCCTGGTGTGGTTGATAGTGCCAGCTGGCTTATCTTGAGCCTGTGACATTTGATTGTTTTTTGCCTTCCTTTGAAGAAGTTATCTCTTAGTTGTCTGTCTTATAAAGTGAAAATAAATAGCTGTGATTCAATCTTGCTTTTTTATGTATGCTTCTTCTCAGTCAACAAAGTGTCATGAAACCCATGAGTGATACAAGGATAAACAAGGCATAAAAACGCCAGGCATGGTGTCTGATAGGACCTTTAAGATGTTCAACTTACAGGTGATTTACTGAGACTGAATAGTACATTGCATTAACTTTTCATTTTTCAGTACGTTAAATATCCTCTTGGCTCACAAATGAAGTGATTTCTGTTCGTTGTGCCTGAATTTTCCTCCCTAGCCCCAGAGCTTGCTTTGAAGACCAAGAGCCTGGTGTAGATAGAGGAAGATGAATAGCAGGCGAGTGCTGACTATGGGATGGGAGATTTCATCAGGTCGCTCATTTACCCGGTCTGTGCAGTTGTTCTTGCTAAAGATGGAATGAAAGGGCATTCCCGTGTCAGATAAGCATGCTCAAGCTTTACGTTTCAGGCAGGAAGCAAAGGATACATGTCCCTGAAATCAATTCAATGCGGTTATTTGCTAAATTTTTATGAATACTAAAAGGAAAAGGTCGGCTAACATGAAAAATGCAGTGCAGTGGTACCCTCAGGGGCTGGGCACTGGTGAGATCTGCATTATTGCTTTTTGATCTTCCATTTATCCTTTTCTGAATATGAATAAAATATACTTTGAGATTTTGTTTAAAATTAAAGAAAATTAATGATCCTCTTTGAATATCAGGCTCTGCTATGCTATTCGTCTTTAAGGAAGTTAAGAAGCCTTTCAAACTTTAATTAGGACTTCACCATTCTCTTTTACTTTCTCACCGTTAAATTATCCTCTTTGAATATCAGGCTCTGCTATGCTATTCGTCTTTAAGGAAGTTAAGAAGCCTTTCAACCTTTAATTAGGACTCCACCATTCTCTTTTTCTTTCTCACCGTTAAATTACGGTTTAGATTTTTGAAGGGGAAAAACCATCCTGGCTTTCTTCGGCTATTGAGTTTCTTGCAGGCACTCTGTAGACATGACCGAGTGGGTGGCAACAGAGCTCAGACAGGTGTGATTCATCCCCCAACTTTGTGTGGAGCGTTGACCTTGCTGTGTGGACCACAAGGTAAAACACAGATAAAAGAAGATCTAATGAATGCTGAGTAAATCTTCCAGAAACCCGAGATTGTTTAATCATTCTACAAAGTAGCAACTATTTGAGTGGTTTCCTAAGCATTACTTCAGTGAAATAGAGCATACTGAACAGCTAAGGGAAGAAACAGGCAGCAAAATGAAGCTTTTGTATGTGTGCAAGATCATAATTGAACAGGTTACTAGGGAGAAATATGCTTACATGTACATCTGCGTTGACCTTGCTGTGTGGACCACAAGGTAAAACACAGATAAAAGAAGATCTAATGAATGCCGAGTAAATCTTCCAGAAACCGGGGATTGTTTAATCATTCTACAAAGTAGCAACTATTTGAGTGGTTTCCTAAGCATTACTTCTGTGAAATAGAGCATACTGAACAGCTAAGGGAAGAAATAGGCAGCAAAATGAAGCTTTTGTATGTGTACAAGATCATAATTGAACAGGTTACTAGGGAGAAATATGCTTACATGTACATCTTCAGGTATTTATAAAAATTCCTTCTTGACTATAAGTCAGGGAGACTTGGATTTCCCTGCAATGGTGCAGATTTATGGGGATCCAGCCTCTTGTGAATAATGGAACGGATGTGCTGTGTAATTGGCCAGGGAGAAGGACATAGAGACAGTATGAAGCATGTCACAGTCAAGCATGGTATTGTAATATTTTTACTTAATCAGCTGTGCTATAGGTTAGGATGACTAACTCAGCTCTGCATTAGGGCCATGGGTCATATCAGTTAGGGAAGGACCCACAGAAAATAACTCTTTTGACTTCATGGACTAGTGCTAAACAGGTCTAGGGTTTTACTGGTGATGGTGAAATTAGTGTCCCAGCACTTGTGGTGTCCACAGGCCAACTTTAAAAATCTTGTCTCTGCCTTTTACAGCAGGGTGACCAAAGATATATCACTTAAGCTCAGGTTTTTTTATTAGTAAAGTAGAGATATTGTTTTGTGCCTTACTTAGGTCTAAATATGTCACTTAAATGTTGATCATTGTCAGAATGAAACAAGTGTATGAAGCAGCTGTAAAGCACTGTAGGACACTGTATAAAGTAGTTATTTCTGTTGACTAGTCCACAGTACCACCTGCAGTAGAGATGTAGTGATGTTTCTCTATCCTGATTTGTTTCTCCTTGCTGGTACCCGTGGTTGGGGCAAAACCTGCAGTGGGTGAGGTCTTCACTGTGCTTCTCACCTGGATTTTGAAGATTCTGAAGTATAAAAATACTGTTTAGAAACAATGGACAGCTAATAAATTCCCTAAAGTAAGTTTACTTACATCACTGGAGGAAAGTGATGCCCAGTCCTGATCATTCTAGAAAAAGGGTCAGTAAAACTCAGTGATTAAGAAGGATTAGAAAACCTTTCCCTGTAGCCAAACTGGCTTACTCATGGTCTTTGAAAATAAACTGCATGCATGCCATTTCTGCTCTGGCCCTCACAGTTAACATTTCTCTTTTATTTTGTATAGAATTTCTTTCCTCTCTAGCCTTCCTTTTATTTAAAAACCCAGCTAAGTGTTGTCTTTTTAAAGAAGACTTCCTTGATTACCTCAGTTATATGGTAAGCACGATCCTTAGAAAGTCTTTGGTGAATGTGCAGTTTACTGGTTTGTATTGTTATTTACCATGCTGTGTGTATATATATGACTAATCTCTTAAAATGAACTGTGAACTCTGTGGGATGGAATATACGTTGTATGTCAAGTGTTAGAAAATAATACTGGAAATTGATGACATCAGAACGCTTAGACAAGTAAGAAGGGCTACTCAATCGGAACCATTTGGGAACAAAAATAGGTAATTGGCCAGAATAAGAAAGAGTTCAAAAACTCATTTACTTGATGGAAAAAAGTTTAAAAAATCAATTTAAAGTTTGGTGAATTTGAGATTAAGGAGGCAAAGTAGTGTCTAAAAACCATTGATGTAGGACCAAGAGTTTTTAAAGAAAAAGAATAAATTTAAGCTTCATATTTAAGAAGAGAAAAATGGAGGCAAAGTTAGACCCATTAAGAGATATCTAGTGGGTCTCTTTTAGCTGCCTTGACAATTATGTCCAATGCAACATAACTTTAGTATTTTCAAATAGAAAAACTACTGTAAAGCCTATCTTTTGCAAACCACATAGTGATCTTTCTTTACAAATTAATCTTCTTCCTACACAAAAATGTTCCCCTTTTCTGATGGCTGCATTTGAAGTGATCGTGTGAGGTCCCAGAGAGGAAGAAATGTGTGATGGCTGCATCATTTTATTTCATATTTAAATGAGTAGTCTCTTTCTTCTTATTTTCTTACTTCTTCTAGCCAAAGTCAAGATAATGTGGACCTCGAAAAGAACAGATGTTATTAGGATTAGCAGCTCCTGTTCTGAATGTTCTTAATGGGGTTAGTTCTTGCTTAGCATGTGTTCTTTTTATTTCTCTAAATTTTTAGGACAGTACTAAGACAGTATGCTTCTTCATGCTATAAAGACAAGTATCACATAAAAATGAAATTACTGACATTGTCCCATCTCTATCCTTTTAATATTATTTTCCTGTTTTAGGGTGACTTGTGATCTTCTTTTCTAGTAGAATTTTCCATTAGGTTGCATTTAGAAATAATAGTTTTTTCAGAACCCAGTCAAAATGATCATTGCTCACAGTCACTCATCTCAGGCCATGAGACATGAGACAGGAAGACATTGAAGGTAGGCAAATGGCTTCACAGACCATGAAACAATGTTCTATAACATTGGCAATTGTAGGCTCACCTTTTTAAGAATTATTAACAAAATTGAATAAAAGGAAAGAATGCTTATCTGTAGACTTCGTAGCTACTAGCCCAGTGTAACGTGGGAGACCCAAATCTGTGAGGGCACTTGCGTGGTGTGTGCCTCTTCTAAAGAACTCAGCCAGGGGTCCAACGGTAGAGACATTGGTTTGTTAGACTTACGAGAAGTGCTGACGGTTGCCAGTCAGTCAGATATCTGCGCTGCCACGGAGTACATACAACAGTTATATAGTGAACAGATTAGAGTAGGGATGTAAATCATTTTCAGGCTTACGTGCAGACCCTCACCCAGCTCACATAACTCAGAGCTCATGGGAGATCCGGCTGAGCAGATAAGTTAATCTACTCACTACTCTCCTGGTTCCAGAGTGCTAGTTCATTTACTTAGGGTCCCTCATCCCTCCAGCCTTCTGTGTGCTCTTAAAGGGGATGTGCCTTTCCTTGGGTAACTACCTTGGCCAGGGGTATTCTCCCAGGGTGAGGGGTACTCTGGTCTGCACAGGGAGTGGGGACTAGGGCTATGTCCAGCATTTAGCCTACACCCAGCTTTGGCATGCCACACTGCCAATCTCTCCTGCACTCATAATTTAAATGCAGTGACCTAGAAAGCAGACTTTCAAAGATCTGAATGTGATTTTTTAGATCAAATTCCTCATCCTTCTACCCTTGGTATCTGATCACTGTGGCCTACCTTTAGCAAGGATCCTGTCAAGTTGGTTTAGGCAGAATTCCCTTTACCCCTGATATTTCCTCTTAGTAATTTTCCATCCACTGACTCCCACCCTGCTCCTCGGCTATAAATTTCCACTTGTCCATTTGCTTTCAATGCTTTCACTGCTCTCTAGCCCTGGTTTTCTTTGACAGGCACTATTCCTATTTCTAGGATCTCCACTTAGAATATAAGTTTGGAAAAACAGTTGGCTCTTTTGTACTCTTTTCTTCCCATTTTTGAGAAAAAAATAATTAAGGATTTGCATCTAAAGTTTCCCTGAGAATAAGTATGATATTTACAGGGCTTTTAGTGTAAGACAGAGGAACAATAACACAAAGGAAAGAGAGAATATAAATGAGAAATTTATGGTCCAGCGGTGATTAATTTGTTTTACTTGGGATGTGTTGTTATTTGCTGAATTATGTCAGTCAAATTATTTTGTATACATTAATTTCATCTTTTGTAGTAAAATTTACTTATTCTGTGAAAAGAGAAGACTGGAAACTAAATGCTGCGACATTGGGGACTTTGTATTTTGGGTCACTTTTGCATACATGGCATCCAACCCAGCACCAGGCACAGAGTGTGCGATAGGCAATACTCATTGATTAAATTAATAAATGAAAATGGAACAAAGGTCCTATTTTGCAAGTACTTTAAAAAATAAAGTTGGTTAAACTAAGCTTTTAAAAGGAGGTTAATTCAAATGCTTTTTCACTTCTACTATTGTCTTAAGCAGAAAAATCACAAACAAGCATCAAAGGAAGCACCAAAGAAAAAGAAGAGTTAACAGCCTAAATGGACTTAAAGAGAGGTTGATACTGGCATGCATCCACTAGTCAAATGCTTTGGTTTGACTCTGTGTTTCATGCAATTTTATTTTACTGGTAGCAGTTTACCAAAGAAATGGAGACAAACACAATTAAAAGAATTCTTCTCTGAGTTGGTGAGAGCGTGTTAATTAGCCAGATAACAGCTACTTCTAGGAATTCAGTTGCTTTCCAACTCCTGCATAATATAGACCTAAAGGTGAAGGCATGAGTGTTTTACTCAGTTCTGCTCAGAATGACTGTGGCAGCTTCACTCAGGACTGTGGAATGGTCACTTACCTTCCTTTCATCATTGCTTTAACTTAATAAATACTGTTGTTTTCCTGGCCTGTAAAGAATTGTTTACTCTGTTGGTCCTTTTATCTAGACTGGTGCTGCCCAGTAGAACTTTCTGAGCTGATGGAAATGTTCTGTGTCTCCACTGCCCATTACCGTGGCCACAAGACACATGTGGCCTTTGAGCCCTTGAAGTGTGGCTAGTGCAACTGAGAAACTAGATTTTTAATTTAATTGAACTAATTGGCATTTAAATTTAAATAGCCAAATTAGCTGGTGGCTATCATATTGGACCGTGTGGCTCCAGACTGTAGTCCACAGTGTTCTGAAGTGGTAAGAACACAAGCTTTGAGGTCAGATAGAGTCAGTGTTTGAATCTAGTCCTGCTATTTACAGTCACAGGAACTTTCAAATCAGTGAACTCCTCTGAGCAAAATGGAGTTAATGCTACTTCAGGGGAGTAACGAATTAACTGATATATCAATATTGTTTATATACATATATACACGTATATGTTTGTGTGTGTATGTAAATATATATACAAGCATACTTCAAAATGTTTGTGCAAAAATAGAACTGAAAAATAATACGAAGCTTTTCATGAACTTTTTGAAGAACCTTCTTATAGTGTGTAGAAGAGTTACTGATGTATATTAGGCCAACAATGATCATTAAAGTTCTGTCACTCACTTTCTGGATATATTATAAATAAATAATAATTACAAATTGTTAAGGAATTACTTTGGGCCCGACACTCTGCTAAACAGTTTACATACTTTAAGGTTATTCAAAATGACCAAAAGCAATAGGTGATGGAGTCTGGATTTGAGCCCAAGGCTGAATCTAAAACCTACACGTTTATGTACCTGATAAATATGTATTTCATTACCTCAACTTCACCTTTTAGCTTGTGGAGTCTGGAGAAAATGGCTCATACTTCTGTTTCACCTCCCTTGGCAGAGTCCTTTGACTTTAACAGAAGCTCAACATGCGTGAATTTATTATTTGATTGGCTTATTTCCTACAGAATGCACTGATGACTGATAAGGAAGACAGCATGTTAGGGGTGGCAATTCATTCCCCAGAGAGACTCTGTACAAGTGTCTCCTTTTCACTTGCCTCAGAAGCTCAGAGAATCCCAGAGCGCTGGTGGACAGGGTGTTTTTATAGAGACGTGCTGGAAGATTGGAATCTAGACCTCAATACAATGATTCAAAGCATGCTGGCCAGAGACCAGTATGTGGACCTTACTCAAGAAAAGCCTCACGACATATTCAGAGTATCAACTTGCAAAAATCATTTCTGAATGCCAATATCATTGTCCGCTGACTTTGGCTACAGAGGTTTGTTGTTATTTTGTAAAAAAAAATAAATAAATAAATTTGGGGGGGTTTTTTTGGGTCACCTTTTTATTCCTGCTATAATAGTAACAGGGGCCCTGAATCAGAGAATGAGACCAAAAGACTCTGACAGTCACCACAGAATGGGAGAACTGGTCTGGTTCACTCAGAAGAAGCAAATGCTTTCCCCCTCACATGATGTTGGACGCAGCGACATAGTTTTTGATAAGCTCTGGCAAAGATAGGTGGGAGTCCATGTAGATGGAGGTTCTGGCTGTTGACATCACCTTATTTTGGGCTCCCTGTTAGGTGGGGACACCAGTGCCTACTCTAGTCAGTGCATGAAGTGTGAGGCTAATATACGACAGATAGGACTGTTCTTTGTAGATGGCAAGTCATTGTAGCCTGCCCCATCCTTTGCTGTGATCAGGGGGCAAATGAGCTTGGCTATAAGAACTTGCTCTAGATACTGCTCTGGGTCCTGTTCTGCTATTTGGGCTCCTATAGAAACCCCTACAAGTGTTTAGCTGAGGAAGAATACTCTCTTTGATAAGAACAACTTTAAAAGAAGTCAAACAGACCATATTTGGACTCCCTTCTTTTATCTTATTTCTCGACAACATGACACTGCTGTGGATGCTGGATACTTTATTGGTATGAGAATAAAAAGGGAGATTCTCAGTGCTGGTGAGACATTACTGTCAAAAACTGGAGGTGCCTCAAGAGGTGTGTGGTCCTCCTCTCAAAGTTGCATTAGTACAAATGGCTTAAGATCATTCTTCTGAAAACCTAATCATTATTTTTTGGCAGACATTCTCCAAATATAATTGGCTTATAGCTAAAATTCTTTATCACAGGTTAACTCATTTAGTTACTTGGGATTATATATTTTATCCAATTTACCTTGGAGGTACACCAAGAAGTTACCTTCAATAAAGTTAGATGTCCCTTGGGTGCAATACTGAAAAACTTTTAAATGGTTTAAATGGGTAATTTGCAACACCTGCTTTAAACATTTTCCAGGATAAAATACTTATTTATAAGCTCTATAGTGCAGAACTTTGAGACCTTTTGTTTGAGGAGATGTGGCACTGTTTGCTGAGAAAGCTTGACTCTTTCTGCTAACCTTCTCTTTATCTGCCTCCATGTATAAATTTCAGAGCTTTCCATTCAAGCAAAAATCCTTCACATTTATTAGAGGATTTAAATACTAGTCTTTTCCTTTCTTCATGCACAAAGTAAATCCATCTGTACTTAATTGACAGTATAGATTATCTGCAAGTTCTTTTCAATGTGCTTTAACTCTAGCTTAGCTATAGAAACTCAACCCAGACATTAATCTAGAACAGTTCTCCAAGATTACTTAAGAATATGCAATAATCTATTCTTCTTACTGTTCTAAATCTTACTCTTGGATCAAGTTATTCCACCAAAGAACCACATATTTACTTTTTTTTTAAAGAACCACATATTTAGATAATCAGACAACAGCTTTGGCCTTTTTTAAAAACTACGTTTACTGTTTTTCCTTGGTTTTAAGCACATGCCTGCATCAAGGGATATTGTCAGAGAGATGCTATGAGGACACTTGTTATAGGCTGGTGTCGTGGATGCCATGTTCCACTCACAGCATAAACACTTCTTCCTTCTTGATACTTGAGAAAAACTAAAATTTTTCTAATTTTTTTTCCCTTTTGACTATTGTTATTCTCGTAAGTCATTGTTTCCCATACTATGCTCTGCAGGACCCCTTTCTAAGCAAGGCCAGTAAGTGGTGCATGAAAAAAGCTTTCTGTGCCTTCTATGGTATTGGTCTTTTTGTATGTTCATCAGCACGTTGATGGCTGTGTGTATTTCTGCAGCTGAGAAGAAACAAACATCAGTTTTATTTTAATCCTGCATTTGCCAATATTTCTTACACTGTGTGTGTGTGTGTTGGGGGGTGTCCTTTCAATCAAGATTCAGCAGAACAGCATTAAGCAGATAACAGTTTGAGGAATGCTGTTGCAATTCCATGATTTTCCTCTTTACTTCATTTTGGTTACAGAGAGGCTTAGGGTGAAATTTGCAAAATTTTAAACATAAATTTTCCCACTTGTGGACTGGGCAAGGTAGCCACAGACTTCTTGTTAAAAATCCAAATTCCACTTCTTCCCACTCGCCTGTGAACGGTGGTGGGGCTTCTCCTGCTGGGCTCTCTGGCTTCATGAGAAGACAGAACTTTACAGTTTCTTTTTCTCAAAAACCAGGATGGCAGGCTCTGCCTTATTTTTCTCATTTATTTTAACTAATGCCCTCTTTTTATTCTAGGCATTTTACTGGATTATGTTTTACTTTCAGTTCTGTTCTTCCAGTGACCCACAGTGAAGACAGGTTCATAGATGTATCAACCAACATCACATTTTCTCTTGTTTCTATGGCTTTAATAGCCAGTCTCTTCTAATGAGCCCTACACTCTAAAGGGTCCTGGATTTTTAACACGTACTCTGATATTATAGCACACATCTTTTTATGACTCTTATTCCTGTCATCTTATTTTCTTGCCTTTGTTTTTCTTTTCTTTAAATTCCCAACTTATTTATTTATTATCCTGTTTTCCTATACATACCTCTGAAAGGTGGCTCAAGTCCTTCATGTAATGAGATGATGGCATAAATAACCAATCAATCATTTTTCATAATTAATGAAAAATAAATAGATTGTTCTCTTTCTAATACCTGAAGGAATATTATCGATGGATGAGGGGATGTCACCATTGCTGGGACATGAGTAGGAGTGTTGGTGGCTCACTTTTGGAGAATGGGAGATATTAGGCAAAGCTGGGTAAGCATAAGGCTCTTTGAAGAATAAAAAAGTGTTTTCTGGTCTGACCAACCTCAGCAGAAATCTTGACTCTGCCCATGTGTGGTTGTGCCATCTGGGCCAGAGCCACGAGGAAGAAATGTTGGCCATGCCACCTTTGACATCTTAGAATAAATTACGCACCTCCTTCCAAGGTGTGTGGGTTTGGATTCCTGACCTGCAGAAGCGTGCAGGCCCAAGCACCTGCCTGCATGCGCCGCCATGCCGTGTCCCTCGCTGGGCTCAGCTGCACGTGCAGCACTGGCTCCAGCTACTCTGCTATATTTTAGGAGGAATTCCTTGTGTACTTTATTGATCGAAAAATTCTTCTAATTGAAATCAAGTGACCTACACTCATCTTTTCTGCTTTCTAAACATCCTGGAATGACACAATGGAATGTGCTGAGAACAAACATTTAATTATTGATCAGGGCTCTGCCTCTGAACTGTTTGATTAAAAGAAACACCACAGACACGTTTCTGACCCAGATGCCCCATCCTTTCTTTTATGCTTCAATTTGTCAACATCCATTTGTCGTTTTCAAAACTGAAGTAGAGAGTTCCAGAAAAGTTTTACTCATCTTGCATTAGAATGAACACACCTCACTTATTGGATTGAGACTGCTTCCTGTCCCCTCCCTCACTCCTCCTAACATCACCACCAATTTAATACTTTCTGGAAGCATCTCTTTGATTACATTAGTCACATGATAGAACCTTTTGATGACTCCTGTTACCTACAGCTTAAAATCTAAGCACATTACTATTTTGGATTTCCAAGCCTCCACAATTTGGATTGTATTTTTATTTCTAGTCTTGTTTTCTATTAATACTATTTTTCATACACCATTTTCTTCAGTCACACTAACTTTTTAATTGTTTGCTTTAAGTTTTGCATTGAATGTGTTCCAGTACAGTTCCCCAATGTCCATGATAGTGGTAATAGCAGTGGCAGTAATATTAGAGCAGTAAAGAGAACAGCGACCACACTGAATTATTTGCATCACGTGCCTTTTTTCCCCCAACTTCCAAATATTTGTCTTTTATCTTCTTTCCACCCCTTTCTTCATCTCTCCTATCATCACCGCAGGGCCCTCTCAGATGTCTTCTCTCTGTTAAGCTTTCCGGACCACTGTGGCTAGAAGTAAGTATTCCTCTCTGAGCTACTATGATTCTCACTGTCTGTCCATTGGTGACCACACTTTTTGCGATTTCTGCAACTAGCGACCTTTTCTGCGTTTGTACAAGAGACTTATGTATATTCCTTTAATTCCAATAGCATCCTCTTCAAATCCTTTGTGGGATGTAGTTGGCTATATACAGAAAATTAAATTCTAGTATACTCAGTACATACATGCACACACATATGTAAATAAATAAGAGCAATAAACAAGAGGAACAAAAACACTTGCAAGCAGATGGCAAGTAGTGATTCCTCCCCTTCTGCCACGGAAGCCACTCGAAGGATTTCTCTCTTCTCTCTCCTTTCCCTCCCTCTCTTACTTGCAGAGCTCCATGTTGATGGGTTGTCCTGAATGAACACAGTAAAATGGGGACTGTGACCTGAGTTGTATTAATATAGTTCTAACTGACAATACTTCCAGCTTAATTTATTTTGTGAGCTTAACTTACAAGAGGCAATATTTGTGTTGATAAATTTATTTAATTGCAATTTTTTTTTTAATTTTAGAGGAGATATGGATTGATTCTTATGCTTTTTTATATGCTGTGGTACAGTCCTGCAAGCCTGAGCCTAATGATAACAGTAAAATCAATGGTGATAAAATAGGGATATAAACATGAAGGGTTTCATCTATTAGACACTTTGATCATTATGTTCAAATTACAACGAAATGAAGGGAGATCACTGTCCTCTAAGTTTAATTGTTTGGCTCATATTTTCTCTGAAAAGAGGCTGTGTGATTTTTCTGGTTGGAATGGTGTGGAGGAGTACCTGGCACCGAGTGTGGTGTAGCCCCTGAGGGACTGGCTGCCTCAGCAGAATGCTCTGTCCCCAGCTGCAGCTACACCTGCACATCATCAATTTGGGGGAAATGTGGATCTCACCTTGGGATTTAGCCTACTTTTGGTTTATAGGAAATTTCTAAATGGAATTATTAAAGTGAGCATTGCCTAATTATAATAACATGTTTATTTTCCTTGATCCTCTTTGTTTTTGACTCATTTTTATTTATTTTTTATTATTTAGAGAAGCTTGATTGGCAATTATTAAGTGCCGTGTGTGTTGTGTGTGCCTGTGATTCTGACTGAGGTTAAAAAATCATTTGCATATGCCCACAGGCCATTGGTGAAATAAGAGCATAGAAAGCAATCCATCAATGCTTTGCCAGGATCCCGTTTTCTTTAGTTAGATGGGATGGTTGAATCAGGGTGCATCACACTCTGGTGCTTTCTGAAATTTTACTGCACCACCTGCAGCCTGTCCTTATGCACCCGAACACTTTCAGAAGCAGTGATTTCTGTCTGTCATTCCCTGCACCATGCTGGATTCATGCTGTGCCATTGCAGTTAGTCTTAAGGGAGGAGCAAATCAATGGGGTTTAGACAGAGGCTCAGTTTAGCCCTGGAATGTGGGGAAAAAGAGTCTGCAAAAATTTTTTCATATACTTCCTCTTTATTGTTATATAATTTAAGTCATCCATTTAGTGCATCTTATGGAGATTACTTTAATGGTACTGAGTTTTTGAGGTGTGGACACTCTGAGCATTTCTTTAGTGGGTAGACAGCAGGTTTATTTATTTATTTGATTTTTCTTCTCTTTTTTCAGACTTCATGATTAGCCTGAAAGTAATTGATGAGAAACCAACTCCAGAATTCTTGAACTAATTTCCATGGAGGATATATGCAAGACCAATGAATATCTCCATAGTTTTTTATGTGTCATGATTATTATTTTATTATTTTTCTCCTTTGTGAAAGATTTCAGTTTCCTTTGAATCCCTGAATGGACTTGTGTGTTTTTTTAAGGGAAGAAAACAACTTGAAGTGTGAAATGTAATGTGTGGGATGTTGAAAATAATTGAAGAAGAAATTAGGAATAGTAAAACAAGAAGGAAGTAATGTACATTGCAGAATAGAACACACACACACACACACACACACGCGCACATACACAGATTTTAAAAGCAGCCTTGAGAGAAGGAAGGATGACCTAGATGTGAAAATAGTAAAACAAGAAGGAAGTAATGTACATTGCAGAATAGAACACACACACACACACACACGCGCGCGCATGCACACACGCACACACACACACACACACGCGCACATACACAGATTTTAAAAGCAGCCTTGAGAGAAGGAAGGATGACCTAGATGTGAATATTGGAGTCCTAAAGGAGAGAGTTAAAGTGCTTTGCTGTATTTGGCATGAGGTTAAAGAGGGAGAAATTATATATACACCAGATACAACGGGGAAGGAGTTAGGAGAGGAATAACACTGAGTTCTCTTCCTCAGAAATGCCAGGCTAAGTGTTAATTTGGGTTATCTAAAACTTTCTCTCTTAAGTATCAAGTAATGTTGGCATAATCAGGCATGATTAAGCAGGGATGCTAGAAAAATTATTCATTGCTTCTTTCAAGAAGAATCCACAACACTGAGCCTTCCTTGCTTCTTGTGTTGCCCTAGTGCACATCTGGACAGTTTCTTCCCATGAGAACAAGTATTGCTGTTAAGGGGAATCTTAAAACTCTGTCTCGCATTTCCCTGTAGATGGACTCATGTGTGGATAACACAGCTTTCTCCCTCCACCCACCTACTCATGTCTCTTCTTTGAGTGTGAGAAGGGGGAATGGGCCAAGCTTGGCTCACCTCGATAACTTCCTTTTTCTCTCTCTCCTAGGGTTGCCTTCCTGCCCAGAGCATGACTTCTCATCTGCTTTCTGGAGCCAGATCGCTCAAGTTCAAATTTTACTTCTGCTAATGGCTAACTGTAATCTTGGGGAAGTTTCTCAATGTTTTGGTGTCACACTTTGTTCTTGTCTTGTCTTTTAGTTTGAAAATACTTGGGATTGCCTCCTTGGCTATTGTGTGGAAAATCCTTTAATTAGTTGAAGATAATGGAGAATTTCTAGAGATAAACAGATTAAACACAGCACATACTATCCCTCACATACAAAGATAAATAGCTAACACATCCAGGAATGTTAGAGGGGTTATATTAACAGATAGGGGTGTTGCATATACCAAAAGGTGCCTGGAACCTAAAAGACACTTGATAAATATTTGTGGAATAAAGCCCTTATTGAATAAATGAATGCAAATTTTGAAATCTCTTCAGATTGTTATGCTAAATACCCTTTTCCCTCTCCTGCTACAACACACATGCAAACACACACACACACCCCACATTCATGCATATGTGCACAGCATCTGTCGAGAGTCATTGTGAGAATCTTACCTCTTTGGAGCTGTTTCTTATTAAATCATTTATGGCACATATGCTTTCTAAAGACAGCAGGCTAGTAGAGTCTTTTTCCTCTTTACAAGCATTGTTAAGAATATAGTTAATTTGCACTTTTTTTTATTAACACATAATAATTGTACATATTTATGGGAACAGTGTAATGTTTCGATACATGTATACAATGTGTAATGATCAAATAAGGGTAATTATCATATCTTTTACCTCAGATATTTATCATTTCTTTGTGGTGAGAACTTTTAAAATCCTCTCTTCTAGCTATTTTGAAATGTACGATATATTATTGTTAACAATAGCCACCCTGCTGTGCAATGGAACACTAAAACTTGTTCCTCCTATCCAACAATAACTTTTACCCTTTGACCACCCTCTCCCCGTCCTCCTACCCCACCCTTCCCAGTCTCTGGTAACCACTATTCTACTCTCTACTTCTATGAGAACAACTTTTTTAGATTCCACATATGAGTGAGATCACATAATATTTGTCTTTGTATATCTGGCTTATTTCACTTAATGTAATGTCCTCCAGCCTCATCCATGTTGCTGCCAATGACGGGATTCCATTATTTTCTATGGGTAAATAGTATTCCATTGTGTAAATACACCACATTTTCTCTATTCATGCAGCCATTTATGAATGCTTAGGTTGCTTTCATCTTTTGGCTATTGTGAATAGTGCTGCAACAAACATGGGTGTGCAGATATCTCTTTGACATACTGATTTCAATTGTTTGGGGTATATATCCAGTAGTGGGTTTGCTGGATCAAATGGCAGTTGTATTTTTTTTTTTGAGGAACCTCCATACCATTTTCCATAATGACTGTACTAATGTACATTTCCACCAACAGTGTGTAAGCATTCCCCTTTTCCTACATCCTTAGCAGCATTTGTTATTTTTTGTCTTTTTGATAATAGCCATTTTAACTGTGGTGAGATGATATCTCATAATGATTTTGATTTACAGCTCCTTGATGATTAGTGATGTTGAGCTTTTCTTAATATACCTGTTGGGCATTCCTATGGTCTTTTTTTTGAGAATTTTTTTAAAAATCGTTTGTACAAGCCACTAGCATTTTGTGAATTGTATTTGACAGGTCACACTACTTGCTTCATAATCAAAATATAGTGTAGTTAATAGGTGGCAGTGTCTTACACGATCACTATTTGAGTCGTAAATCCCTAAGGGAAGGATGGCTTGTGGGAAGTGCTGTCTCATATGGTAGAGTGAAGGTGGGGACACAGACTTGGTTTCCTATGTCCACTATGACTATGGATTTTTAAAAGTTTCAAATTCAAAATCTAAGTTGCCATTCATTTTATTATCATGAATATAGAATTTTGTAGCTAGATATATGTAAATATAGATTTCTAGAATATCTTCACCTAAAATAATTATTAGCAAGCATCATACCTATCATTTAGGTCCATGTTGGAGAAACCTAGATAATGGCTTTAAAAGATTAAAAACTCATTACGCATTTTCTTTACACCTTTCATTTAGTTTTAAAAATATGGAGCATGACAGAGATTTCCGACTTGGATATTATGTCAAACAATGACATAATAGCCTTTAAGTAGTTGAGGAAAATGGGGGATTTTAGAGGGTTGAACTCAAAACAATATAGGCAGGGAGCTGATAGGCTTGGGTTAAAAATTCCAGGTTATTTATATGTTGCTTATAATTATATAATTTGATAACTGTAAAAAGTAATGGTCTGATTTATGTTATAATTGAAAAGTATATAAAATTTACAGTCTATTCCTCCTAGATGGAAAGCCAGTGCCATATATTTTTTATCATCCCCAGAGACAAACTTAATCCATGGCACCGTAATGACCTCCATTTCCAGGGACTCACTGTGCTCCAGGTACTAGGCAGGTGCCTGGCAAGCAGTAGTTGATTAATTCTCACAATGACTTCATGTGACAGATAATATGTTGGCCCTGGTTTTTCAAATGGAAGAAAAATAAGCAATTAGTAAATAAATTAGAAAGCATGACCTCTCCAATATAAAGAAATAAACTTTATTAAATGTTTTGTCGCACTACATCCATGACATTTGGGAAGAAAATTTTACAAGGATTTTGGAAGTCCCCAAATTTGCATGTATATCCCCATAAAATAAACATGCAATGGTTTTGAGAACAGCAAAATCCACTTGGGAGACACAGACTGGGAGGTGGGCCTGGTTCACCCCCTAAATGGCCCACCCATGTTTACGTACCTGCATATACCACTCATAGGGTTGTGATTCTAGGTAGAAAATGTGACAGACCAGAAATGTGAGAAGACAAGGTCTTTCTTGGGGGCTTGAGGAGCTGAAATTACAGATATGCAATTTAATAAGGCCCATGTATAATCTCTTTACTCATTTGTTTTTATGTATTTGAGAAATGTACCATATACAGATTTGTATCTGGTGTTTTCCATTGACATTATATGTGTTTCCCACATCATTGGAAGAATTAAAGTTCTTCTGTCATAAAGAAGAAAAATGAAAATTCTTTATAACTTTGACTAGATATTTTGTTAAGGAATTATTACTTTTTAGGTGTAATAGTGGTATTACTCATAAGGGTAATATTCTACAAGTCCTTATCTTGGAAAGCATACATACCAAAGAACTTACAGATGCAATGACATGATGTTAGGGTTTTGCTTTAAGATATGTGTCTGAGGGGGGTGGAGTAAATGGAGTAGGAGTAAAGTAAGTTTGGTAATGTGTTCGTAGTCATCAGCGCTAGATGATAGGAATTTGGAAATTTATTATACTATTCTCTGTACTTTGCACATACTTAAACATTTCCATGATAAAAAGTTAAAATTCTTTATAAGTTGAGTTTCTGATAGCTTTATGATGTTCACAGTATGGATATATATTAACTTATTTAATCATTTACAGTTTGGGGACATTTTACAATTTTTCTTGTTTTTCAACATTATATAAGATATAGTAATCAACATTCTTTGTGCATAAAATTTTATACACATTTAAAATTTTTTCCTTAGGAGAGATTTCGAGGTGTAATATTACTTCACCAATGAGTGTAATTATGTAAAAGTGTTACACCAGTTGTTTTTTAGGGAGACTGGATATATTTGCCACTCTCTTGAGAGTGCCAGCCCTGCCTCATACGGTTAGCACTGCCTGTCACCCTTTAACAATATATCCTAAATTGATACATCATTTTATTAAAAATGCTAGAAGAGTAGATGCTTCTTGGAATGCACAAAAAATATGCTGGTTGTAGAAAATTTGGAAAGCACGGAAACTTCCCAACTCTAGAAGAAAACCACTGTTGAAATGTGGGTGTTTCATAACAATCTTTTTGCAAAATATTTTGAAATATCCTCTGCTGTTCAGTTATGATGATAGCTGGAGGCATCATACAACTTTATTTTGTAACATGTTTTTCAGTGCAGATGTGAAAAGTTTTACATCTATTATTTAGTACTGCAATGTCAAATAAAGTTAGTTAGACAGAAGTTCCAGAAGAAAAGATACATTGGAAAAAGACAAGTGCCCGAGATGGAAAGTGACATAAGGAAAACTTTCCACATTGCAGCAGTTGTAAGAGCATCAGGCTTTCTAAATAAGCTTTCAGATGCATGCCCTCACTTTCTCGTCATTACACCCAAATGAAGATCTTATTAGAAATTTACAGATAGGGACACTAAGGCCTTGGAGATACAAGATTCTTCAGAAAATGGCCACAACTTCCTAATTTCACTGTAGACCATGTCCCTCCCTCCCCTCTGGCTGTCACAGGGTGTTCTTGGTCTTTCTATATCTTGCACTTTCTTGAGAGATCACTGTGGAATCTGTTGACCCCTCTTTTTGAGATACTGGTTTTTTTTCCTATTTAAAAAAACTATCAAGGTGATACATGCTTTTGGGAAAAAATATTCTAACAGAACCAAAGAGTATAATTAAAACATAGTTTATACTCAGTTTTACATACTATTTTCCCTTCACATTACACTATGAATAAATTGTTTGTATCCTTAAAATGGTTGTAAGTACCACTATTATGGTTGCAAGGGGTGTAGCCACATTGCAGGAGTATACTTCCATTGATTTAATGCTCCACTGTAACCTCTAATTGGGCTGCTGCCTTGGCTGACCTATGCTGCCCGCGGGAGAGCAGCTAAATGGTTGTAAGTACCACTATTATGGTTGCAAGGGGTGTAGCCACATTGCAGGAGTATACTGCCATTGATTTAATGCTCCACTGTAACCTCTAATTGGGCTGCTGCCTTGGCTGACCTATGCTGCCCGTGGGAGAGCAGCCCCATTGATTTAATGCTCCACTGTAACCTCTAATTGGGCTGCTGCCTTGGCTGACCTATGCTGCCCGCGGGAGAGCAGCTGCTGCCTCAGAAGCCCCTGCTCTCCCCCTGGCTTCCTCCTGCAGCCAGTCTAACTAGCTAGGCATGCTGACTTTCTGAGGTTTTTTCTTCCCCATTCCTTCAAGATTTGGATAAAATGACACACCATGGCTTGGGGCCTGGCTCACCCAATAATGAGGCTGGAAGTCACGAGCTGGAGCAATGAGTGAATTAACTCACTGTGGGAGAGATTTCTGACCAATGAGAACAAAAGATCTTGGAAGAGCTGGGCAGATCCATTCCCAATCCTCACTCCCATGGACCGTGTGAAGCATGATGTCCTGTGTGCTTGTACAGCTTCTCTGAGATGTCCTCATGGCCACATGGTGCACCCACCAAAGGACCCACCTTGAAGCTGTGGCCAGGATACACCACTTTGCTTTGCTTTTCATCCTTCCCTCTTTTGCTCTCTCCCTCACCCTCCTGCCATTGGATTGCATTTCCTTAAATAAAGCATCAGCATTTAGTCATTGCCTCAGACCTGGTTTTCTAGGGAACCTGAGCTCAGGCAGAGCAGTAGCTAGGTGAAGAGGGAGGTAAAGTGTTCCAGGAGTCACAGAATGTGCAAAAGCTTGGTGTGGGGAGGGAGCATGATAGGTTAAAAGTAAGTGGGAAATGTGCTGGAGAAAGAAAGAGGAGAGGTGCACACTGTGGACTAGCTGGGATGAAGCGTGGAAGGTGGTGTAGACACAGGAAGCAGTCTTGTTTTGATTCCAAGAGTTTTAGGGAGGGTGGAGGGGGGATGGGAATGGGGTAGTGAAGTCAGATTTGAGTTTTGAAAAGGTTGCTCTGGCTGTTCAGGGGAGAACAGATCACATGAGGAAGGCTCGCAGTGTGGATGTTGGTTGATCAGCTGGGAAGTGATGGCCTAATACAGGGGAAAGGTGACCTTAGCTTGGACTACTGTGGTGATAATGGAAATGGAGAAAAATGGGCAGATGTGAGAGATATTTAAGAGGTAAAATGGGTAAAACTGATAATGCCTGGGCAGTGGGGGAGTCTTAGATGAGTCCTCAGTCTCGAGATTGAGCTTCTTATATTGGGTGCTGGTGGCATTCACAGAGACAGGAAACACCAGGAGAAGAAGAGGTGCGGGAAGATCTAAAGTTTGGTTATGGAAATACTCTGTCCCGTGAACAGGTGATATTCAGTTCCCCCTCACAGGAGAGACCTGGGCTGAGCAGCGTTTGTCATGTACCTGGTCTAACTGCCCCATGAAGTTCCCTGAAGCTGGAAGAGTGAATGGAAGGTAAGGAGAGCAAGCGGGCTTTACCCTCTTGGGATTTCATGTGACCAAACGACTGCGAGTATGAACTGGGTTTTGCCTTTTGCTCAGTGTATCTGAGTAACAGAAGAAATTTCCCCCTCCCCCGCTTATATCTGAAACTGAATTATACACTAATGAGTACATGTCTGGACCAAATTATGTCTAGAATGCATTTTTCCAATGTGAGCCTTCTGGGCTAAGAATCAATCTTCCCTGATTATTAGTGGGCTATTTTATTTTCCAAATAATTGGAGTCATACTGCAGTTCTTGCAGTGACACTCCACTCACCAGCACTGGGTATCTCCGCCCTTGATCACACTGGTTTCTGGAAATTATCTCCTTCATTTGTAAAGCATTTGTTGAGTGTTTATTATGAATGAGGCACTAAATAGGGCACGACATAAAGAAGACATGGGTCCTGCCCATTAGTTTTTAGTAAGATAAGATGTTGTATTGTCCTTGATCACAGTGATTAATGGAAGAGCACATGTGCAGGTCTCAATCTCCTATCTGTTATCTCCTATCTCCTATCTGTTGCAGGCATAGAACAGATTTAGAAGAATGGGTGGCACATAATTTTGAATGCCTCATAAAATAGCACCCACACTGTCGTTAATAGGATGGAGCATGGCCAGGTGCAAAGAAGATGCATGTGGCTGACTGTTTTCCTGTAGATTGTAGCATCTGTGTTTCCAAACTACATGAGTTACACTAACTTTTAAGAAGATGACATTTCTGAGAACAAGCTGGGCATTGGTCATGGATTATGTTTAAAACTGAAGCATTATTTTCTCTATAGTTAGGAGAAATTCTCTCAGACGCCTGTGAATTGTATTCCAATACTTGTTTTTCCATGCGATTTAGATTTTGTTTTTGCAGATATGTTGACCGGAAAGTGGGACTTAGCATATCATAGCCAGGCATATTATTGAGGCTATCTTAAAGCTTCATTCTCAATAATTTTTATTTTATATATTATTCATGATGATGTAATCAATAGCATTTCATATTCCACAAAGTAAATTAGCTGAACTAGAAGATCGAAACTGTACATTATTAGTGTATTCTTTGAGTATTTAGAATCTTAAAAAACAGCAGAACATGGGAGGTTGTTACTGACTTGGCAATCTTTTTTTCAGCCTCTTTAACAGGTAGCTTTGGCTCTCTTGCCAAAGTTTGGTTTTGGAAATACTATGGCTCTCTTGCTTTACCTGTTTTTAAGAATGAAGGCTCATGTGAACAGTGACAGTGATGTATTTTCTCACATAGTCATTATCAATACCTATTATATTTTATGTTTCTTCATTATTTGCAACTGTTATAATGGCCACTCCCCATAGCCAGAATATCCACAGCAGCATACTTAATAATTTAAAGTGGTGTTTCTTTCTTTAGCTGTGACTATTAACTTTACACCCATTTTGAATAAAGGGATTTGGGAATATTCTGTAAAGATGTCTTTTTGTGTTTTACAGCCCTAACACTGTTTTCTGCAAGATTTTGTAGTATAAAAGAACTTCCTTTCACTGACAGATTTTCCTCTCTTAAAAATCTGAAGGACTGCTGTTATTGCAAGTCAAAATATAACATGAGAATGATCAAAGGTTATGACTTATCATCTTCTGTTACTCATAAAAAATAATAAAAAATGTGAAAGATGCATGTATCTTTTAATCAGTTAATTACATTAAGATATTCTCATAACAATGAATCATTTTGCTAGAAGTGATACAGCATGTATTCCCTTTATCTTAGATTGCATTTGGTCTTTGAAATAAGGTTCTAGGTGTGAATCGAATTTTTGAGGGGATGGAGTTTCCTCTAAACGTTATCTGTTTCAATCACATTTAAAGCATTTGTTGAGTGTTAATCATGAGTGAGGCACTAGGTAGGACACAACACGAATCAATATGGGTCCTGCTCGTTGGATTCTCAGCAGGATAAGGTATTGTAGGCTTCCTCCTGCACCACATTTAGCATATATTTACAGTGAGTAAACTTGATCACAGTAAGCTGTTCCTGCAAGCTTGCAGAGAATTGATTTGCAAATTATGTTATGCAGGGGATACCTAAAAGCCTTAGTACCAATTTTAATATGTAGCAGAAAAGTATTACTTGCACTAACAAAGTTTTATTAGTTGTATTTCAACACATATAGACCTTGGCTTGCATGGGCCCTGTGCAAATAATTGGAACTAAATATCTAAGCATTAGGAAGACTTCTGGAATTAGAATTTTCGTTAGTCTATGAATTGTGTCAACTGAAGTTCCTCCTTCGAATATCCACTGGACATTTTGGGGTGTGCCTTTAAGGTGAAAGAAAGAGAACAGTTTGTTTTCTTTTTAATTGAACACCTATGCATCTGGCAGATATGTGTTTTATATACTTTTCTACTAATCTTGTGAGCTGGGTAACATTTTCTCCATTTCAGATGAAGAAACTGAGGCTCAGGGTGGCCAAATACTCTTCTTGACATTGCTTGGGTGAACTTGAGAATGACCCATGTCAGATGGGGAAGAGTGGCCATTTTCAGAGTGAGGAAGGTGCACTGGACAGAGAACCCTGGGTGTCCAATATTGTGTTCTGCATTTTACAACAAATGTACTAAGTGCATACTGAATACAATGCAATCTAAAACTGAACTCGTTACAATTCCCTCTCAACTTGTTCTTCCTCTATACTCCGTGTCTCCACTGAATATCATCTACGTGTCCTCTAATCAAGAAACAAATATTATTAGCATCGTATCTATCTGCTATTTATTCAGTACCTAACAGGGGCCAGGCATGTTATATCTATTACTGAATTTAATCTTCACAAATACTGAACATGCCCATTTATTCCTATTTTATATTTTATGAAACTCAGGTTCAGGGAAGAAAAAATCATTTGTTCAAAACCTCAGAACTAGTGAGCAGAAAGGCCATGACTCAAACTTGGGTGCACCTGACCCAAAGCCCAAGCTTTTTCTGGTGCAGTAATTGCTTCTCATCTGGTCACAAATTATTTTCATTTGATCTTCCAAATATCTATTTTCTTTTTCTATTTGTATTGCAATTGTCTTGGTTCTGCATCATCTCTCCCTTGGTGAAGTATGTTACTCAATTTCTAACTGGCTTCCAGTCTCCAGTTCCTCCTGCATGTCTGCTGTTCACCTTTTGTGATTTATCACTTACAACTCGCAGATGGCGTTGTGTTAGGATGTATTCTACACTCTGGCAAAGAAAAAGCATATTCGAATGAAGGTGTGGGGTGGTTTGAGAAATTTCACTTGGATAAAGTTATATTTCATACATGTAAAATCTTACATGATTTCATAATGCAAGTGAAATAAATACTAAATGCAAAATAAAAACAAATGAAGGAATGCTGGAAAAATTTTCATGGCAAGTGGAAATATGCTGACTATAGAATGAGGAAGTATTTGACATAAGCTGTACTATTATAAAGACTGTGACATCTTTGTTAATTATGGATAATCGTATCAGACATGTGAGAAAAGGCAGATACTGTTGGCCTTTAGGCTATCTGCCCAATATTTAATGTTTTTAATTTTAATATTTAATGGTTTTTCTTGCTAAAAAGGCTCCAGTTTTGTTTATGTGGAAAAGTGTTTAACTTTGGTGGATAGCTCATGGTTGGTCTCAGCCAATGATAGCAATTCTGCTTCCCTTACGTAGTGATTATGATAGGGGCCAGATGGCCCAGTTCTGGGCAGTGATCTATGGAGTGAAGTCTGATGGGCTTCTCTAAGAAACTTTTCCTTTTATTTATTTATTTATTTATTTATTTTGTCAATATACAATGTAGTTGATTATTATGTCCCATCACTGAAACCTCCCTCCCTCCTCCCTCCCCCTCTACCCACCCAAGCATGTCCTTTCCATTTGCTTGTTGTAGGAATTTCAAAAAAAAAAAAAAAAAAAGGGCCGGCCCGGTGGCACACTGGAGAGTGCGCCGCTTAGGAGCACGGCGGCGCTCCCGCCAAGGGTTGGGATCCAATGTGGAGACCGGTTCCCGCTCACTGGCTGAGTGCGGTGCAGGCACAACACCGAGGGTTGTGATCCCGTTGCCGGTCAGTAAAAAAGACAAAAAAAGGAAAAAAAAAAAATTGTAGTTGTTGTATCTTCCTCTCCCCCCCCGCCGTTTTTGTTTTTGTGTGTGTGTGT